AAAAAAAAAAAAAAAACCCCGAATGATTCTCCACGGTTTACCTGAAGGGTTCTGATTTTGCGGGTTCTCTATTGAAAGTAACGATTAAACGGGGATTAGTGTCGATTGTTTCCCGATGTTTCTGAAAGTGCCCCGCGGAAAAATGGTGGCGCGCGAAATGGAAAAATCGACGTAGGGATTATATTATGCTATGTCCGGATTAACGAACTTGTAGCGAGAATCAATTTTATTCATCTCCCGCGTACACACACACCTTTTGAAATATCCACGGGGTGGGGGGGAGGGAAAGTTCGAATTGGAAAAACACCGATGGAACCGGGTTATCTTTTTATTGGGTTATTTTTGACGAACGGGAGCGCGCGCGAACGGGGAGATCGCTTATAGATATATCAGGGACTTTCCGAGAATCGGAAATATCGTCGCTGGAATTTACCAGCGCTGGTGCATATCAATTTCAATAAAGAAGACCGTCTTGGGCGGGGGGAGGAGACCGTCTTTCCTCCGGTTATAAAGTGGGTCAAATACGTAATTCACCTTTAATAAAATAACTGTCAACCGAGAACAACATATTTTTCATGGTGTTTCTTTGCGCAAAGGGTGTATTATGTAAGCCGTAAAAAAAAGAAGGAAAAATAAAGAGAGAAAAAAATACAGAGAGAGAGAGAGGGAGAGAGAGAAATATAAATCCGTATAGAATTACGGAGTGTGTACTCCGCGCACTTTTCATATGAATATCTAAAATTAAAGTTTTAATAAAAGATTTTTATTTTATTTTACGTAATATTATACTGTTCGTAAAATCGAAATAAAAATCTAAGAGTAGATAAAAATGAGACAATATGCGAATCGGGGAGGCGAGGAATATATCGAAAATATCGTACAAGGAAATATTGAAAAGAAATGAAATATTTATTACAATTGAAACGGAGCCTTTTGCTCTCTTTCTTCCGAAATTGAACTTTTTATTTAGATAATTTCTGAAAATCTCTCTAAATAACGAAAAAAGTTATCGTAGCTTTGTAATCAAAATGATTTTCACATCGAATTTGCATCGTGCAATTTGCAATTCGCGGAATTTGGCGACCCTTTTATTGAAAGCGCACGCACTCGTCTATTGGGACCGTTGTATGTCTCGGGTGTATATTAGCTTAATTGAAACGCGCCGTTAATATAATTGGTATTGCGTAATTAACGCTATAAAAACACGAGCGCGCACAACGGATATTCGTTCAGTTGATATTTTAATTTATGTTTGTCCGGATTTCACGCGGTCATTCGCTGCACCGACGGTGCGTCGGCGGGCATTATTGTGAATTATGCGAACCGCGCGCTCTCGAAAACGAGCAAATAAGAATTAATGCAGATAGTGCCGAACACGATAAAATATATATAACACGCGCGCACGTGTTTTATCAATTCCGAATCATTCTGTAAACTAAAAAAATAAACCAAAAAAATGTTTATCGAACTCAACGTTTTTTCAACTATTTTGCAAAGTGTGAACACAATAGCGTTTGAATTTTGTTTAAGAGGTTTTTTTTTAATTAAACTTTTACGCATATAGGATGTCTAAAAACTTTTCGACTCGGCCGAAGCGTGAAGATAGATTAGGTCATTTAGGAAACAGAAAAGTCATGCATTATTTTGCAAAATTCTATAATTATTAGAACAGCAATCAATTAATCAACCAAATTATTTAAATACAAAAAAATTTAGGGTATCTATCTCTTTTAATTAAAATTTAATTTCAAAGTTATCGCAAGGCGTTAGTATTTTTTGCGCAAAGATACATGATAGAGAAAAAAGGGAATGGCTGAAAGGTTAATGCAATTATAGAATGACGCGCGGGATAATTTCCGTACGATCAGACGTGTGTTTGCCGGTACTCACCGATGAACAATTTAGGTGTTTGGCGACCTGCATGGCGTAATTGGCGGCGCCTCTCACCAACGCCCAGGGTGAAAGCGCACTACCCGACATCAGGACGCCTCGGTGAAACAGCAAACCTGCAACCGACTCTCTTTTACACAACGTACGATTATACGCTAGACTTGTTAAATATTTCGACGGACGAATTTCTTTTTTGTGTCAAAAAAAAACATGAAATGTAAAATTTAGAAATACTTTTTTAGTGTGTAATAATTACCACACGTAATAAATATAATCCAATAGGAACAGAATAAATTATAATTAGAAAAACGGCAGAAACAATTAATAAAAATTAAATAAAGTTGGACCTTACAGCCTCTGGACTGCAGATGGTGGCAGTTTAATAAGTAAAATTTTTTCCTAGTGGAAATAATGTGATTTATCGGACGTTTCGACCGTTGATTACGGTCGTCATCAGCCACACTGAATAAAATACAAAATTAAAGAAAATTAACAGAATTAAAAGTAATATACAGTAAGTCAAGTCGCGTACACACCTTATAAATAAAATTAATGTACGGTACTGAATGTCGAGAGGCACCAAGACAGCAAAACAAAATTGTTGATAGTCAATTGAATAAATTATAATAGTTCAATAGAATAAATTATGTATAAAAAAATCAGCCATAGCAACCAAAAGTGCGGGGTGTAATGCAAATAAAATGTTTATGTTTTAATATGATGTACCAAACGTACTCGACTTTTATTTTTACAGTCATCATCAGTGGCACATCAAATTGTTTACAAAAATATTATTTTCCGGGTAGGACTGTAAGGTATTTATTTTAATTTTAAGTTTTCCAATTGTTATTGTTTATCTCACACGTTGTATTGTCATATGATTTATTTTTGTAAATAATTAGATGCACCACTGATAACGACTGTAAAAATAAAAGTCGAAAATCGTTTGGGACATCATATTAAAAAACATAAACATTTTATTTGCGTTACACTCCGCACTTTTGGTTGCCATGGCTGGTTTTTTTTATACATAATTTATTCTTAATAAAATTCTGGAGGTCACCTCTTATAACTGCATTTAGGAACAGAATAATTATAATATTTTAAAAAAACAAATTGCGATATCTCTTTGCATTGTTCAATCTATTCTCGTAAAAATACGTTTTTCTTTTTTTTTTTTTTTTTGATTGCGAGAACATCTTAGAACAGTATTCGAGATACGATTTCGAGGAATTCTTGCGCGAAATTCTTGTGTTTCAAAAGGACCGAAAGAGCTTTATACCCGGGGAGATTCGCAAATCATATATATCTCGTAATGCAAAAGTGTTTGTTCATGTGAGAAGGGGATTATATATAGCTATGCGGAATTGAATTTCGAGATGATTTCGGGGTCGATTCCCTTCGCGAACGGAACTATGATATTACCTGAGTAAACGAAATACAATCAGAGTTTCAATGCATAGTAACGAATACTCGTCTCTATATCCCGGCCGTTCGATAGATTTATTTCCAATCAACGACTTCCATTACGTTTATCAACAATTTCTGTTCTAACGATGAAAAGCAAGACGCGCGTCGTCTTACGTAAGACGACGTTCGGGAAAAACAGTAAAATTATATTATCGCGATACGTTGCGCCAATATGCGGTTCGAAAACTTTTGTAAAAAGTATTTAAGCTCGCAATTAAAAAAAATATATTTTATATTATTGCAAACGTTTGATTGTATAAAAATACATTCGTGTTGTAAAATATCGCGCGCGCGTGCAAACTTTATATTAGAAGACGGAAAAATTTTTGCGACACAACAATGAAAATAATAAAACGGAGAAATGAAACATCTCGTTAGCTGAGAAGAGTGTTGGTCTTCGACTGAGGCTTATTAGTCATTAAATTTCTCATCACGCGTCGCAAAATTGGACATCGCGTTAGAGATGAATAGACAAGAGAGAGCGCATATATATATATATATATAGTCTGCAGCAAGCGAGGAAAATTAAGGCGAAGCGAAAACGTAGTCGTGTCTAGAGTTTGTCTATTATTTAATACGAAAGATCTCGAGGATAAGTACGCTTTAATCCCAATCTCGCGAGTCGTTAATCTTAATACCCACCCCCCGAAAAGACGAGATTTTGTTCTCGTGAAAGCTGCCGCGTGTTATTCCTCTTAGCATGGTTTTACTATCCGAAAATCGAATAAAGAAAAAACAATTTTTTTTTTTTATATATATATATATTTAAAAAAAGGTTTCATATCTAAGGAAATAATAAATACAACTATAAATACAACTATAGTTTTACTATCCGAAAATCGAATAAAGAAGAAACATTTATATATTATATATATGTATATTTAAAGAAAAGTTTCATATCTAAGGAAATAATAAATACAACTATGAATACTATAACTATAGTTTTAAATAACTATAGTTTTACTATTCGAAAATCGAATAAAGAAAAAACATTTTTTTTTTATATATATATATTATATTATATTATATTATATTTATTTTATATATATTTTATATATATATATGTATTATATATATATGTATTTTATATATATATTGTATTTAAAGAAAGGTTTCATATCTGAGGAAATAATAAATACAACTATAAATACAACTATCTAACAAATAAACTAACTAACTAACAAATAAATACAACTATCCTTACCATAACTATATATCACAGTTAGTTAAGTTACAAATAAAGTTAAAATGTATATAATTAAGAAAACAAATTACCACCAATCTTTGATCCCTTTTAATTTGTTAACTATGTAATTATTACACTATACCTACTTATTATACTAATTATACTATGATGAAATTTCCTTGCAGCGTTTATAGATACTCGAGTAAACAAAGATTCGCGGTACGTAAACTAAAAGCGACAGCTGAGTTTCTCCCACGCGTAATACGCGTATAATCTACCCTCGTCTTGATATTCGACGTCTTCGAAAGCGATTTTATCATTCCGACACACACACACACACACGCATACATACACACACACACGTGTCGATATCCGGATTCGGATCTCATTCGTTTAGAGAAGATATCACGATGGATGGGAGAGGAACAGGTATAAGCTCTGAATATATCTCGTCGAACACATCCCTGACGTATTTCCGACGTTACAAAATCAAGATGGCCCTGTTCTTCCGATACCCTGTCGCCGTCGTCGGACAGATACTACACCGGACGATAAGACGGTGTCGAAGCTCGCGACATTAAAGGACTATTAAAGGATTATCGCCGGCTCAAATTCCGGCGCGCGTTACTTGGATTTAATGGCAGTCCTCCATAATACCCGGAGGATTAATTAATTCCTTGGAGGAAGAGCGAGAGGGAATTCCAGGAGCTAAGCGAGCGAATTAAAGGTCAAAAGAAAACGGAGGTAGTCGCGAAATCAAGATTTTAAAAAAAACCAAAGAGAAAAAGAGACAAGATCCAAAGAATCTTGGAATTCGGAAGAGAGCAAGAATTAAAGTTGTAGGATCGAAGTGTTATCGAGAAATCGAAAAATCGATAAATCAAGATTTAAAGGGATCTAAAATCTTCAAACACGCACACACACTTACACACACACCCTTTCTCTCAGAAATATAAATTATTCAAGACACAGAAAATCAAAGAAGAAGGGAGAAAGTAAAAAAAAGTCGATTACTTCAATAAAACACATTCGTATTTGTTCTTTTTTCTTATGATAAAAGAGCAAACAGGATTAGTTGGAAGAAGAAGAACAAAAGACGTACGCGCGGATATATATATATATATATATATGTAAGTCGCATTTGATTTTATCAGCGCGAGAAGAGAACAAAAAGAAGAAGAGGAGAAAAGCGTAGCAATCTGTTTCGGAACCGCGAAGCTTATCGCTCGGGACCTTCTGGATGATAATTCACTACAGCTGCGAGTTGTCAATGGCGGTCGGGCCAGCTGATTCCTTCGTAATTTATGGCGCCTGGTAAACCACCCCATTATTCCTAGCTCCTTCGTATCATTGTCTCTCGTATGGCTTCTCGCTCTCCGACCTCTCCGCTCTCTCTCTCTCTCTCCCTCTCCATCTCCTCTTTCACTACGCGTGACGTTATCTGTTTCCATGTCGCAACGCCCGAGAGGGACGGGTTCTCTCTATGGACCGGGGTCCGAGAACAATATATAAACTGTTACAAGATTGTTTCTCCGGAACAGAGTGACCGAGACAAAGGAATTTGAATAGCTATTTTTTTTTCACAAAGATAGCTTTGAAATAAAATATTCAAACACGTTTTTTATTACGTGTCTTTTCATTGACAAATTGTCTCTTTTGAAACGTCGTTTTTTCAATTTAAATTAATCCGTTTCTTTTGTTTACTTGTAATTGTTTTAGTCTTTTATATAGTCCGTCGATGTTAGAAAGAGATGATGAGAAAAAGAAAAAATTAAAGAGAGAGAGAGAGAGAGAAAAAAAAAGAGAAAATCGATGTTAATATAAATTTGTTGGAAATTTGCCGTTTGTTGGAATTGGACAAGTGACTTACCATCGGGAACCGCGTGACTGGTCATCAGGAAGTTCACGCAGGCGGCACCGGTACCGTGTCCCACCAGCGTAACATTACCAGGATCACCGCCGAAATAAGCGATGTTCTCCTGGACCCAATGTAACGCCGCGATCTGGTCCATCAGGCCGTAATTCGCTGGCGAGCGTAAGTGCGAGTCTGTGTTGGCATTTAGAAAGCCTGCAATCAAAACAACCTCCGCTTTATGGTCAGTGCGACGCACCCCACCGGTATCCATTATCGCTGGTTACGGCCGGTATAACAACATAGTAGTAGTTGCAACGAGAATTACTGTCTCAATAGAGAGCTAATTCCAATGGTCGTGTACCACGGTCGGGTGACAGAATAAATTTCAAAAGAGCAATAAAATGACAATTGCACTCTCTCCGGGATTCTCTCATTTAGGAATATACACGTATGATATAGAAAATACAAAATGACAAATTTCGAATTAAATTTATTAATTAAGTAATATGAAAAAATATTAATTAAAATAATAAAAATATATATTAAAAAGGGTTAAATTATTAATTAGTTTTTGTATTTAAAACGCGTTGGGTTTTGTTGCAAATGCAAATTATTAAATGTGTTAATAGATTTTATCGCTCCCGGGCTGACCAATATAGTAGTCGTACTACTGATATTTCTCTCGTTTGATTAATTTTCACGTGTGAAGCCCGAAGAGGTGTCATAGTTTTCGCACAAGCGTTATTAATTTATAGAGATGCAAGATGCATATTAGAATTTATGCAGCTCCCTGAAACGTGGATACATGTATATCGTGCGCACCGGATGCACAACCCTTCTGCGTGAAAGGGTTAAATGACTGAGGATATACAGATTGGCCCGTCTGGGGGCATCCCAGCAGCCGGTATGATTTAGTGTTCAGACACGTATCACGTCCTACTTTGCGTATCGTTTCGCCGGGCGAGATATCACTATCAATTGGCGTAGTCGTGACGATATTTATGACGACCGGATGGCGCCACTGGCAACAATCTTACTCGGTTTGTCAGATACACAACATTGCCATGATACACGAAATCGTTTTCGACTTGGTTCCCTCGTCGAAATACTATTCGTCAACAGACCGACTTTATTCCATCCCTTCCGGTTTCCCCGGGAATAAATTCGAGTTTCGTAAATCTGCCAGATGTCCACATTTATTTATATTTATTCTCACGTTTTGTTCTATATATTGGTTTTACATTACACAGAGTTCCGTGCCAGACGATTGAATAAGTATGTATATATATATATATTAGGTCTACCGGAAAGTTCTGTCCGTTTTTGGAATAAAACAAAATACACATTTTTCTTACCGTCAATAATCTTTATTAAATAATATATAATTGCCATTGTTATTAATGATTTTCTTTGCCAGCGTGAGGGCAATTTGTATATCCAATTTTTGAAAAATTCAGAAAAATTTGTATTTTGTTTTATTCCAAAAACGGACAGAACTTTCCGGTAGACCTAATATATATATATAGGTCTACCTAATATATATATATATATTAGGTCTACCGGAAAGTTCTGTCCGTTTTTGGAATAAAACAAAATACAAATTTTTCTTATTGTCAATAACCTTTATTAAATAATATAATTGCCATTGTCATATTAATAATTTCTTGCCAGCGTTAGGGCAATTTGTATATCCAATTTTTGAAAAATTCAGAAAAATTCAGAAAAATTTGTATTTTGTTTTATTCCAAAAACGGACAGAACTTTTCGCTAGACCTAATATATATATATATATATATCGTCACAGCAATTTCATGATACAAGAAGACATTTTTTGTTAATGTGAACTTTGAGAAGAAGAAAATAATGAAAAAAAAAAAAACGCCGATCTAATTTTAATCAGCATTTGTGCAATTACCTGTTTCCTTTCTTTTCCAAAGTTTCTAATGCAATTAACAAAAAGTTCATTTATATATATATATATATATATATATATATATATATAAAGAAAAGTTAGAATATTGTCGATATTTTCTTGCACTTAATTTTTTTTACGTACAACAAATGTCAATTAGGGAGAAATACAAATTTCTTCGCGAACGCGAAGCGTACGTAATGTCCCCTTCAAGTAATCTCCTGATTGGGTTTCGCAAAAACTTAGAAATTACCTAGTAGTGTCAGCTATCCGTGTAGTCAATTAGTTTCAGTTCTCTTTTAATACAGACAGAGGAGAAAATGAAATTAACGTTAATTGAGTCAGGTCAACCCTTCGGGATCTCTTCCGGGGATGACTTTTTTTCCTCCGGCCGAAATTAAATCGCGAGCGACGATTGTTGCTGCTGGCAAGTTCGGCGCTGTGATATTTCATCTTGCAATAAGACTCTTGCACTCGGTCGGTATGTTTGCCTTCGCCGCACGTAACACCGTGCTATTAAATTATCCATCATATTTACTCTGCTGACATACTAGAGACTGTTCTTCACAGAGCTAAGAGGATTATTTCCATTATGAGCCTCCCGTATATATACTTGCCGGTGTGCATTAACTTTGGGGCACTCGGTGCCTTAACAAGGGAGGCGTTACCATCGCCAGGATCTGGGTCAACGATGTTGCGCCGACTGTTTCCCCGCTAGTCTTGCCAAATCGATAATTTGGAAAGCCTGATGTTGAGCGGAAAAACGCCCAAATATATATCCTTTTCCTCTCGCTAGATCCTTGAAGAATTTAAGCCTCTTACAAAGTTCTTTCGGGATTACGTAGTAGTTTTAATAGTTCTCATATAGAACTTGTTTAACAACATCCGACGGATTTATCGCGTCAGGTATAATAATCATTTCGGTTTCTATCTCTCTTCCATATTTTTCTCGCGTTTGATTTTTGACCCTTAACCCTCTATGGGACGAATTTTCTATCTGCAGATACAACTTCCAAGGTAATTTATTTTGACATTTCAGGTTGACGGTGCCGCCAACCCGTCATCAATATTGTTATTGGTTATTTCAGGAGGCATTGTAATTAATTAAGACGTATATCATCATCTTGTGAAAAAAACTAAACCTATTTGATGTTGATTAGACAGGGCGTATCTGAACAAGTTGCTGGATGTTTTTTGCATTGAGGTGAAATTCAAAACGACCAAATTTTCCCAAACGTTTCGACTATATTTGCAGTCAAATTAATTTTTTACCAGTACCCACTGAAGATGACTGCAAATATAGTCGAAACGTTTGGGAAAATTTGGTCGTTTTGAATTTCGCCTCAATGCAAAAAACATCCAGCAACTTGTTCAGATACGCCCTGTCTAATCAACGTTGAATTATTTTCAACCTGAACCCGAGGCCACTCCTCGTCGTTATATTATAAACCTATTTGGTAAAATGTGAATGTATTAGCTTGTGACTTGAAAGAGTTACATGGGCCCATAGAGGGTTAACATATTTTAGAGTTGTCTTGCGATGAAATCGCGCTCTTAAATCATCTTTCATAATTTTTCAATCCGATCGACTTGTCGATCGATATTTGTATTTTTTTTTTTTCACATTTATATTAGTTAAAATTTTTCTCAAGCTGAATTATTTTTGCTTGACTACTTACGGATAACGGAACATTTGCACTTCTACAGTATATCTGCTTGTTTCTTTCTCATAACAAGACGCAGAGTCTTCTTCAGTTCTCTCGTCTTGCAACTTTTAGATTATACAGCTGGATTTCTCCGATCCGCTAACGATGCTCGACGACGCTTCAGGTTCCGAAAATAAAAACGCATAAAAAAGACCCTCCCTTACGCGCATCAGAAAGGCGCGAACATGAAAGCGGAACAGAAATAAAGCACCGGTCATGTCCCATTTGATATTCAACCTCCGGCATATCTGTCGCGTTGCGCTTCCGCGTCTCCTATTCTTCTGGTTACAATAGAACTGCTGAACGCTATTCGTTGATTTAAATTTTCCGGTATACGGTGAGGTATGTACGTGAGGGGGGGGGGGGAAAAGCGCGGGTGGAGGAGGAATGGTGTAGGTGTTGGTGGATATCGCGTCGCGCGGTCGCGCGGTGCTCAAAAAGCACAGCATCATTTTTCCGAAACGAAAGAAAATAGACAAAAAAAAAAAAAAAAGCTCCCGGGAACGAGCGAGGGGGAAAAATTGTGGCCGCCGCGGAGTGGAATTTCCTGGACGTCGCCATTTTATCCCGCTATTCGCTATATATATTTTTTTCCTCTCGCGCCTCTTTTTGTTTTTTTTTTTTTTTGTTTTTTTTTTTTACATATATATATTCCGCTGTCGATGGAATTGAATTTCCGAATTTGGCGACGTACCTATATCCGCGTTGTCATCATGTGTCACTTTTTTTTAATTTGTTCACACGATACTTTTAATGCACTTGTTCTGTTTCAGCTCTCTCTCTTTTCACATTTGAATTGCTTCATCGATGCGGAAGAAAAGTCTGATGTGTAAATTTTAATTGCGGCAATTTGTTTATCTCCACGTATCTTACAACAATTTTTAATTTTCGCATAAGAAAACCAATTTTAAAGAACAATCGAACTTTCAAAATCATAGAATCTTAAATCGCTTAATTTAATTTAAACGTTCAAATTCACACGATTCGTATATTTAGATCCTTTTATTAGAGTTTTCGAACTGGAGATGATATTAAGACGCAACGCACGCGGCGGGGATGATAGACGAGAATAGCGAGAGTTGTTGTCGCGCTGAAGAGCAGGATGAGAGAGAAAGAGAGAGAGAGGAGGGGAAGAGAGCGGGAGAGAGAGGAAGGAGAGAGAGAGGGTGGAGTCAAGAATTTAGTTTGGTGAAACGGAAGACCTGGCCGTAATGAGTTTCCTATTAGATTTGGTTGCCCGGGTTGCCAGGCAACAAGCCGGGTCGCCGGAACTTGCAATTCCCGCGATGTTAGCGACCAACTTCTTACTGTTCGTTTCTTCATGCTCTTTTCGGCTTTTTTCCACAGCTTCTTTTTCTCTTGATTGGTGAACATCAAACGTCACGGAGAGTAACAAGTTCTGTCTAATGGTCGCTCAGACACAGAACGCGCGCTTGCGCCAACCTAGATTGGACTTGAGCGCGTGTTTTGAACCGATCAACTAAAGGGAGTTTGGCGTTACACCACGATAGAGAGACAAGCGAGTTCGTCTCTCTCTCTCTCTCTCTTTTGTGCGATTATACAGACTCTGATCCAAATGATTTATCTGGATAGAGCAAGAAAATTGAGTAAACACACTTAGCGTTAAAGTGACGTCAGTGCAACCAGCCTTAAATAGCTAATGAGCTACGGTCGACTGGCTCGTTTCAAACCTTAACTACCGCGAGGTAGCGTTTCACACCATTAAGCGGGCAACTAACATATGTGATTTATCTGAGTTTCGAACAGTTCCCGAAAGTTATATCTGGCTCAGCAATCGGGGTTAATTATCGAGATGCCTCATGCGGAAGAGTTGGAAGAAAATTTTAGAAAAATTAAGAAATGTAAGCAACAAAATAAAAAAATTTCGAGTTTCGAGAAAAACTAGAGGCCCGAACATTCGCACTCGTGTGCGAAAAGAAAATTGAATGATTCGGAAAGGTGAAAACTGTATCGAAAGAAATGAAATGTGTATTGTAATCGAGACGAAAGTTATTAAAGAAATTACAAGAGACAACTTTACTCCTGTGAAAGTAAACGTCCGAAATTTTTCGAAACGAACCAGTTTACCGACGCGGCGATCCGAACGAGATACAATATACGTCAAGAATTCGGGATTGAAGTTTTCGATTCCTACTCGCGCGCATATCCAGAGACTCCCAGGAACTCCCAGAACGTCATGATCGAAAAGGAAATCTGGAAAATCCGAGGCTTCGCGTGGTCAGATGGATTTTTAAAGGAAATCTTGGATCTGGAAAGAGAGATCTCTTAGGAGAGAGGAATCCTCCCCCCCTGTCAACCAAATTTGGGGCGAAAAGTATCTGCGTTACGTGACTTACCTAAGATGCCGAGTCTATAGTTTATGGTGACGACGACAACCCCTCCGTAGCTCGCCAGGACGCTACCGTCGTAAGGATTTCCGCTGCTCCACTCATAACTCTCTCCGTGCACAAATACGATCACAGGATACCTCTTGCCGCCGCCGTCTCTCGAGCCGGCTGTAATCAATAAAATTATCCTGTGATCGATCGACATCCACGACATCTGATCAGTTCGCGTCGAGTGATCTTAAAAGATTATTTTTCAATTCTCAGAGGTTTTCACAAAGTTTTGACAACCAGGTAAAGAATTACCATGTTCTAAGGTGAGAAAAACTTTTACCGAGCTAAACAGCTAAAAAATCGGAAAATCTGAGAATCGAATCGGTTGTATTCTTTAGGATTAAATTATTGAGATTGGAAAAATTTTGACTAATGCAGTTGGGGCAAGTGTGAACCATTTGCAGGGTGTTTTGCGATAAATAAATCTGCTAATTTTATTTTTTCCAAACGTTTCGGCTTTATTTTTAACTCTCTTCGGTGGATTTCTGTATGATACAGAATTCTGTAAAATTTTTTAAAATAATTTTTCATGCAACATATTGACATTGGTGTTATTAAAGAAATAATTCAAAATAATATACACCGAAGTTTCCGCGAGCAACGAAACAAGCCGAGTGTCGAATGACGTGTCGCCTATCGCTTCTGATGTAATTAAAACAAGCGTGTGGCACCCGCATACACGAAAGGGTGCGTCAATCTGATTTGCCACGGTAATGCCGGAAGGGTGAACACGTGAGGGTTGATCGCTGCGGTTAGACCGAGCGCCGGTCATAATTCAACAAATCGCGCGTCATCATCTTCGCGATAGCAATCCGCATGCCGATCACCCCCTGTTGCCTTCTGTACACCCTTCAACCCCTTTCTAATTCCTAACCGCTAAAACTATTCCACAATTCTATCTGCAAATTTATGATTGATCTTGTTCTACAAGTCTCCGAACAGAATATTTAGCTTAACCATTAAAATACAGTCGAACCTCACTAACTCGAATCTCAAGAGAAGATCTAAGATCTTCGAGTTGTAGAGATTTCGACGCTTTATTTTTCCTTTCTGCGGAGCGGAAGGGAATGAACAAAATTTTTGTTTTATTGAGATTTTCGAGTTATCGAGTTTTGACTGTGTGATATTTCAAATTTTCAGTTTCCTTTTATTGGAAATAATTTAACAAAGATAACGCATCTCTCTGTTTGTGTAATAAAAACAAATTTATAAATAAACTTATAATTCTCTTTCTGAAAAATAATTTTATCACAGCTCTTTTCGACTTTAGATTTTAATTAAAAAAAAAAAAAAATATATATATATATATATGTATATATAGTCAATATAACGCAAATCGTTATTATTTAACGATGGAAATTTTGATATGTGTTTGAGCAATTAATTCGCCGAAAGTCCTGCAAGAACAAACGCGCCGCGATGAAAACGAGCATCGATGCGATTAGGGAAGTAAACGGTCGCTTGATTGGCCGGCCGTGTTAATTAAGTGACCGTGCAGAACGATGACGATTGGGCGACCGAATCAATTAATGGACCGCAGCCGTGTGCCGGATAATTATTATTTTCATTATCGTCCTTGTAGCTTCCTCACACGCTTCCTAATTGGCGACTCCGCCGATTGCCCCGAAATACACGTCCCCTGACGCGTGTAGTTTCACTAAAGCCTTTATACCAGTGGGAATTCGCGGTGGGAGAATTCCGTAATTGCGCATATGCTGTAATAACGGAAGATAAAAAAAAAAAAAAAAAAAACGAGCCAACTCTCTTCTCTATCTTTTTTTCTATTTATTAACACTAAAAGCCTGCGCATAGTCGCATATTTTTTGAAATATAATTCGAGGCCTCCATAATTTAAGAGATATTTTGTTTTTTTTCATATTTAATTTAATATATGAAAATTCGCAGTATTTTTGAGACCGGAAGTACGTCGAAAAATCCGACGTACAAGAATCCGAGAGAGAGAGAGAGAGAGAGCAAAATTTTCCATGCGAATTTACATTTATCGATCTCGAGACAATTCAAAATGCGCATCGAAAGGATTTCGTGGTGCATTAGTATTTTACGCGAGGAAAAGGTTTTAAAATCAGATCTTCTCCGGGTGGCGAGAGAAAACTCGGGATTTCAACTTATCTAGCCTTCTCGCGGCCGTGATACATTATTTCGGCCGTGAATAAATTTACAAGCGCCCTGTCAATATTTGATGCGATCCGCAAACAATTTGCCGGAGCGCCTCTAACGGACTTTACATATTCATAAAGCGGTGCTCCGTAGTTTGATATCGCGGGTGGTAAACGAGAAATACCTGCGTTCCCTTCCCCCTTCTCTCTCCGTTAGATCGCTTTATTTTACAAACTCGATATTGCATCCGCCTTCTTAGTAACGCTTCCTTTAATCCTTTCAGCCTTCCGGTGGCTGGCAAATGCCTCCAGCACGTGAAACAGATTGTATATTTCATCAATGCGCGAATCAAAGCTTTATCTAAGCTACTTAAGGTCGACCTCGTGCCATCACAATTTAATTTCAACTCCTATTCCGGTAGTCGCGGTATTTAATATTTTAGAAAGAGAAAAACATTGCCGCAAAGAGCTTTTTGTTATATGCAAAATAAAAATGTTAAATATGCATATTTAAATAAACCAACTATAAAAACGTTGGTTAAAAAATATACACACATGTAAATATATACACATGTACATATATTTATTTTTTATTTGTTTAGTATAAAATGTATAAAATATTTGTTGTTATTGAAGAAATATTGAAAATAAAGTTTTTAATTAAATTCAATTAAAAGATCTACCTCTGTATATAAATGTCAACAATAAATTAAATTTTATGTTAAACTGTCACTGATAATGTAAAACCAGAAGATTTTTCGAGAACTTTACGTGTTACTGAAATTGATTAAATATGATAAAATATTAAATCGTTAAATTACGAGTATTTATAGTACTAGCACGTCACAGACGCGCGCTACGCGCACGCTATTATTTTTATTTTAACATATTCCGTCAGTAGACACAACATGTCACCGCGATAAAATATGATGACAGCTAATATATACGTCTTACAAACCATATAATACCCATGAAGTACAAACGAGAGATATCAGAAATAACACATAAAAATCAAACTCAAAAACTAAAAAAAAAGAAGAGTGGAAAAAACAACGCGTAATAAAGAGAAGTAAAGAAACACCATATGACTAAAGTCACGTGACAAGGAAAAGAGTAAAAACGAGAATATTATATATATCATATATAATATTCTATATCCATATATAATACATACACACACACACACACACATATATATATACATACCGTAATTACGTGACCAAAGTCAGTGACCCCACCAAAGTCGCGCGGCCGAGGTCAGTGACCCTCCCCCACCAAGGCCGCGCGGCCGAGGTCAGTGACCCCCCAAGGTCGCGCGGCCGAGGTCAGTGACCCCGCCAAGGTCGCGCGGCCGAGGTCAGTGACTCCGCCGCGGTCACGCGACCAAGATCAGTGATCTTACTGTAGTATGTAATACTGTAGTATATAATAATACACATATAATATAATATAATGTATAATATTATAAATATATAATGAATTATATAATATATATTACANCTAGCAAAATATGTACACTTGTAGAATATAATAGTCTTTGACTAAAATAATTTATACATATACATATATATATAATACATATAATATATATTATAAATTATATATATTATACATATAATATATATTATAAATTATATATTATTTAATGGTATATATACAATAAATTACAGTCACGTTACTTTAGTCACGTAAATTTTTTAATGAGAGATCGGAAGAGAGATCGCGTAACGAGAGATCGCACGTGCGCGCCTTCCGCATACTCCGAGAACTCGGAGATGTTATCGAAATATTGATTATCTTAAAAATTTTCCTAAAGGGATAAAATTTTTGATATTTTTTTACATTTATAATCCTTGGATAATGATCCGCGCCGTGATTCGCGGTGCAAATAAAAATATAACAGTGCAAATGAAACGGTGAAAAATAAAAATGTATAATTAAAAACGGCGTAATACGCCGTTAACAGTATTAGTGCACGAGATGATGCGCGGAGCAGAACCGGGTTGTACTGCAGTGCAGCGGCGTTTTATCGCATTGTCCTTCAAGCTATAGTGACACAGGCAGGATTACGGTATACAGATAAGGATGACGACGGTACGGGTATCACGGACCGTATTCATTGCCTGTATTCACGGCGAAATCGTCGCGGTAAAAGCTCGGCTACAGTCCAGCGACAGCAACGTACATTGCCGCATAGATACGCTTGTCTTATTAGGAAACGTCCTGACGACTGTGTCACGTGGACACTTAAAACAACGATGTTTATCGCTCTCGTAAATCCGATCATCATTTCTCTTTCTCTTCTTCTTCTTTCTCGCGTCTCTCTCTCACACAATTCCTTCGCAAAAATTTTACTCCCCTAATCCAAGTGCACGAAATTGCGACAAATAAAAACGTTAACAAGTCGAGAAAAAAAGCTCGCAGGAGCTGATGAAAAAATACGTACGAGTTTTTTTTTTTTGTTTTTTTTTTTTATCGACAAGCAAATTCGAAACTTTTTTCAAAAATTGAGTTGTACGTTTGTCCTCAAGCGTTGGATTCGAGAATTCGAAGATTCGCACATCCGTAACTCTCTCGTAACGCACCCGTTTCCGCGGATGCTGTATGCTCGAGGTCCTTGATGGCAAATTCTCCTCAATCAACGGCTTAACCATATCTCCTTGATTCTGTCGATATATCCTATCCCTATCATTTTCCGAATTAGCGCGCGCCTCGATGCGACTGCAGGTACGGCAAATTGACAAAAAAAAAAAAAAAAAAAAAGAACGATACTAATCTTTTTTTTTTTTTCCGAAACCAGTTCCGCATCTCATTTTTCGTGATATTCGAATCGGAAATGTCAATTTTTATTTCAGGTCGGTCGGAAACCCGTAATTTTACATCGTAAAAATGCCATTAAAAGTTTTTTTTATTGCATCATTATTTTCCGAGTTTCAATCGAAAAATTCGAGATACAAAATTTCTAGGTAGAAAGAAGCATTTACCAAGATAAAGAGAGAG